TAAACTCTTTATGATAATACGCATCTTATTTAAATCACTGTAAAAAAAATTGATTCCATAATCTTATCTAGGGTTTGAACCTTCCTCCAATCTGTGACGGGTGTCTTTATTCGATCACTGAGGCGTGCATGAGATTTTCGCTCTATTTGCCTATTAATTTCTTTAACTATTAACTGACTTTCTCCGCCCTGATTAATTTATTGTCGTTACATAAGGTTTATTATTTCGCCATGTTAGCGGATTGTATGTACACCACACGCTATTTCATGCCAAATTAACATTATTAAATTAATTATTTAAGCTAATACTGCTTGCGCTAATAACGTTGAAGTGATGCAACATAATTAACATAATGTTATGAAACAGCAGATGGATCAAAATTTCGTAATGTGCTCCGCGGGCGAATCAGTACGAATGAAGATCCCCCGCGGTGCATCCGCCGCGCGCGTTCAGATTGTCTTTCCTGACAATAATGCGCGCGAAATATAATGAGCAGTTGTTGCAGAGCGACATTAATAACCGAAGAAATTTCATTAGGATGCGAATCGAGTCAGGCCGCGGAATATTCCCAGGAAGCGCGATCGAACCCACGTTGTTAAAGCGCGATAAACCGGCGGAGCGGAAGCGCCGACCTCTCCTGGTACGTTGCTCGCAACGAGTTCGAGAGGATAATAGTGGGCACACGTCACCATGCGCAGAAATGATTACGAGTAAACTGCGAGCTCGCACGTACATACAGCACGGTATATACGTATGTACATACTATATATATTTCAACGGCGGACCTCAGGAACGCCGGGCCCCCCGCGGCGCAAGAAAAGTGATAGCTCGGGAAATCGAATTAAATTCTGCTTTCCAATCTTTTAGGGAGGACCAATGTAATTGGTAACAACGATATTTATATGACGTAAATGTTCCGTGCAGATAAAGCGCGGACGAATTATCGCGAAAAGTGGAAAAGCTCGCAGGGAGTTTCTTTTTTTTAATTACTTTTTTGTTTTTAAAAAAAAACGTTCATTTATCCACTCTTTCGCGCAGTTTCACGCGTCGATGGAGATGTTCGTTGTGCCTCGCGACATATGGTGCACGCGTCATCCCGTCACGGAACGAGATGATTGCTGGCGCATGCCCGACGATAGGTTCGCACGATAATTCTCACATCGAGCCTCCCGCATAAGCCTCCCCGCGGCTCGTCCGGCGGGATCGCATGGTCGCCGGTCATTGTATCTGTATACCCTCCGGACCCTCGCCCCTCCTAGACCGCCTTTCCCGGACCGGCAATCGGCGCGGCATGGTGCAGCGCCTGACGGCTTCGTGTTAGCTCATTATCTTAATCTGCCAGCGGGACAAATAACAGGGTATCGCTCTTCCCGCCTTGGCAGCTGGCAATGCCGTGATATCCGCTACTATCGACGCTTCGATATTTAGATGCTTTAATACGGAAATTATCCGATTATTGCTTTAAAAATGCTATTATTAATCGACACCGCGGCATCAGAATAGAAACGCTAGAAAATTGATGAGTTGATTAAGGTAATAATTAACGGAGACAACCAAGCGGGAGATAAACAAGGAATTAAAAGTGCCGATCGCGAAACAAATCGTAATCTAAAGGTAGCGTACACGGTGTCGAAATTTTGCTAACATTTCCGATGTAAAATATCGACGCCTGACGGCGGAAAATGGCGTCTCGCGTGGAAGAAGAGGGGTAGGATCACGCTCTACAATCGCAGGGCACAAGAGAGTTTGCTTGTCCCTCGAAGTCAACCCTACGCGATCGACTTTGCTCCCCTTTTCGTGGGCGATATTGTTTATCGTCAACCCCATTTCGGGGGGGGGGGGGGACCGCGATGCCGCTACCCCGCGCCACGACCGGTCCCTCGGTCGATCCGACGGATCCATATGACCGGCTTTAGGGGAGTTAAGCGCCGGGACGGTAATTGCGGAGTGTTACGAGCGCGATTAATTTGTATTTTCTATGGCGTCGTTACTCGTAGATGAATCGCTATCTGGCTGGACAGCCCGGGCTTTATTGCGTCCGACGTCAATTGCAATCCTTAATTCTTACTTCCTTCGGTAGAAATGAGATTCGTCGGTCATGCGGCGCCGTTTAAATCGAGGATTTTATGGGCCCCGGGAGGTGAAACAGTTATGCGACGTCTAACGGTAGAAAATAATAAATTCTAACGTTTGCAAATAAAACAATTAGCTGAAAACGGGCGCGACATCGGACATTATGGTGGCAGGCACAAAAACGTGCGCTCATAAAGTTAATTAGAGACGCTGACATCACGCGTTCATACGTTACCTCTCGACTCGGCGTTGCCGTCGGCCGTTTCGCCTCGTTTTGTACAACGCGCTAACTGGCGTTGCAGTTTGCGTAGGAGTGAGTTAAGCGTTTAAATGCTTAATTACCGCATTAGGAGTAGCCCGCGATATCGCGCGGGATCTTTAATCGCGGCTCATCGGAGCGCGAATTACTTTTGTTTTGCACGCGCGAGGAATAATTGAGGGCGTTTACGGGCGGCGCGGCGCACAGCCCCCGTTACAATGGCGGCCCAGAAACGTCTAAGTCCAGCGTTAAACACAATAACGAAAGCCTCCCCCGACGCCCGCCCCCCGCGTGCCGTAATACGCGTGATAAATGCACGCGCGTTTCACGGCGCCGGTTCCGGCGATTAATTACGCGTAGGTACTCAGTGACGAATCGCCGTTACACCCGCGGGATTAGACCACCGGGGAGCGACGATATTCTCGACGAGCGCGTCGCACGCGCGATTCGTATTTGCGCGGGCGCGCCGTCGTACGTTTATGAGCGCTGCAACGAGAATAAATTTTGCATTAGCGCGCGAAGACTGCGGGGCGGGGGCGGGGGGGGGGGGTGAAGGAGGGAGGAGGGGGAAAGGCGCGAGTTTGCACGGCGGTATTACGAGGCTTACCCTCCCCGTATGATACCGCGGAATCTGGGTATATGGGCGCCTTGTTTAAAAGTAACGTAACTCAAATTTAGAAAATTTTCCTTAAAGCGGCAACATCAAACGCGCATCTTATTACCTAACTTTTCTTCGTTTCTGGATTTTGCTTGCCCTACTTGCGAAATGAGCGGCCCCGAGTGAGTCCGCGTCTCCCTGAAAAGTGCACTCCGCGATTTGACACTCCCAGACCGGAATAAATAACTTAACGCGCCGACTCGTGCCCTCGCGGGCTCTCGATTCTTTTTTCCGAAGATTACCGATTCCCCCTTTAATACGGCTGTTAAAATAAACGTTTCTCCCCACACGACGACACTGCCATTGTTCCGCGATTGTTCCTCGCGGTATCATGGACGGGGCTTAATCGCCACTCGGGTGGGAGACGACAATCGCCGTCGGATGCACCCGGCTACGTTCCCAAGCTAAACGCTTCCTCGACCACACGAACTCCGTTTTCTCCGTTGACGATCCCGCGGAAAATGGAGAACGGACACAAATTCCCTCACGGTCCGTCTGCCCGGCGTAAAATGTCTCAAGTCCCCGAATTCGTACTCGAATTCGCCGGATCCTCTCGGTACACCGCCGAATGCCACGTGCATTCTGCGCCGCGGTGCGGTGCGGTGCGGCCCTTACGGTGTGTCATTTTCTAAAAGGACGTCCATCGGTCAGCATTGTCCCCGGGGTTGCGGTTAATCCGGTCCGTTGGCCGCGGTCGCGGTCGTGGTCGTTGCGAGCGGTCGCGGATGCGTTGCACGCGGGAGGACGAGAACAGAGGAGGTGGAGGAGGAGGAGGAAGAGGAGGAGGAGGAGGTGGAGGAGGCGAAGGAGGGTCGGGAGGCAGCAACGTCGACGGGGGATGAGGAGGACGCGGAGGATGGGGGCGGAGGTGGAGAAGGAGGACCAGGAGAGCGGGCGAGCGCAAGCGCCTGTCCGATCGATGCCCGTCTCCCGCGTATAAAGCTCTCGTCCTCGGGGGGCGCGCGACAGTTGGCGTTCCGTATCCGGAACATGCATCGCGCCGCGTGCCGATCGCGCCGGGCACATCTCGTCGTCGTCGTCGTCGCCGTTGTCGCCGTTGGTGCGACCCGCGTCAACAGCGTTATCCGTCGCGAGTACATCCGCCGTCGTTCGACTCCGATCGAACTTGAGTCGAGCGCGCTGATCTCGAGGTTCGGCTCCAAAGGGCGACGCGTTCCTCACGAACTCGTTCTCGATCGCCGGATCGTCGCAGGACACTCGTGGCAACGCGAATTCCTCGTCCCTTGACCGATAAGGAAGAGACGACGAACGCAGCAGCAGCAGCAGCAGCAGCGTCGGAGATCGGCAACGCCGTTTCGTCCCACGGCAAGGACTTGGTGTCCCGAAGTCATCCTCTCGATCCCGGAGCGGAGTATGCAGTCCGACGTAACGTGCGTCAGTGAATGACTGCCAGGAATCTGGCAGAAGCGACGTCGCCGTCGGCGGAGAGAGATCTCTCGAGATTCATCATCGCGTGGACCAATACTCAGTCTCGAGCCGAGATCTCGGCCGCGCTACCCCGAAGCTGTCCTCGACCTCGTGACGTCGCTCGGACTCGCGCGATGCCTCTCGCGAACGACCGATGTGAGAGCCCGCGGTGAAGTCTCGCGGTCGCGGCCGGGAGAGATCGGGGAGGCCGCTTCGTTGCTGGATCGTATCTGGGGTCGCGTCACCGACATTCATCCCGCGCGGGACCCGTCATCCGGGCAGGCGGCGTCAGATCGGCGGCCGTTCGATCGTCCGGCGAACGTCTCTGCCGCCGCGCGAAGAACCGGCGGCGTCAGGCGGAGACGTAGGGGCGGCGGAGGAGGAAGAGGAGGAGGAGGAGGAGGAGGAGGAGGAGGAGGAAGAGGAGGAGGAGGAGGAGGAGGAGGAGGAGGTGGTGGTGGTGCTGGTGCTGCTGGTGGTGGCGGCGGTGGTGCAGGAGGAAGGCCCGCGGACGTGCAACAAGTTAAGAGGCCGCCGCCGTCGACGTCGCTGTCGCCGCCAGCCTCCTCGGCACGATGTGACATGGATATCCTCGCCGTAGCCTGCGCCCTCGTCGCGACGGCACTCTACTGCAACACCCTGCAAGCGGGTTTCGTCTACGATGACCGGTGAGTGAGGCGACCCACCTCTCTTTTTCGCCGGCATTGAGATCCTGAATGCGAGCAGGAATGAATGCCTGGCACTTTCAGACTCGCAACGCTGTCCGTAAGGGCTGGGCTTGAAATTGATGTAAGTTCAGCTCGGCGAGCTGAAACCCCCGAAACGCCGCTGCAGGAGCGCGCGGAAATGACATTTATATTCCGCGACGATGGAAACGTCCGCGATCAGCGCGTGATTCGTCTTCCTTTTCTGCCGCGTGTCTGTATCGTCGCAAATTGCACTCATTGAAATTACATCATTTCCAACGGTCCCGATGTATCGGCTCCGAAGTTGGAGAGAGCTTCCGGGAAGTCTCGATCCAGGGCTTTTCCTGACAGGAGTCGCTTTAAGACTAGGTCGTAAGGCAGCCGGTGACACACTTGGTGAGGTCGCGTGACGAGATTCGCCAGGATTAGAACACGGTGCCGCGAAAGTTTCGAGGGCGATACTCGTGAACGATAATTCGCCGTCGCGTAGTGATAGCGGGAGAGCTTTGATTTGACTCGGGGGAAGCTTGGTCAGCGCGATACCCGGAGTTGTTGATAGCTTATCAAGGCTTATCGTCTTGCGTCGGACAAATGCGACTTAAGGCACAAGTGGATTCAATTCGTTCTCACATGACACGATCTGTCGCTCGATTTCGTTTAATCTCTAAGAGATCGGAAAACTTTGTGCTGTCTGTAAGGGCATTTCTCTTAATTAATTAAAACAAATTGGAATCTAACTGACACTTTCTCTCCCTCTCTCTCTGTCTCTATTTATTTATCTCTATCTCTATCTCCATCGTCTTCGAAAGACAATCTAGACAATATCTGGACAAGAGACAAGATCAATTAAACTCCACTTAACTCGAGCCAACGTTCGCAATCCGAAGCGATAGATTTCGAGGCGAGAGACGCATTGCAACAGCTTGAAATTATTCCTCGACAATTTTTCGGGCGTTGCAAATGTATATACGCCTCGAATCTTAAAAAGTCAGCACTGATTCGGGGCAAAGCTGCTCGATCGAATATCGTTAATTATGCCGACGCGGGACGCCCGTCATCCGTCATCCGGGGACGAGGAAAAATTCTTGTCGGCGCGCGTTTTCGAAGGGCGATGAATGTCGCTCGTAAGGACTCGAGTTTCCCCGTGAATATTACTCATACCCGGGGTGATATACGATAGATGACATTCCTCGCGATATTTCAGCCGTCACTCCCGCGCCGCGCGAAATTGTTTCTGCGCTGCCACCGGCTCGATACCTACCGCACCGCTATGGGAAACAAATAGCCACGAGCCCGGAGTAATCGCAACAAACTGCGCGCCGTATCGTTCGTTCGTTATTTCGCCTCTCCTCCCGGATCAATAAGACTGCGTCAGGATTTGTACGGCGCTCTCTCGCCAATCGGCTCGAAATTCTCGCGATCGCCAGCCCGACGGGTTTAATCTCCCCGGCCAGGCCAGAGCGTCATACGCTCCTTGAACAGATGTTTCGCAGTTTTGCCCAATATCGGGCATTACGGCGCGAGCTCATTTTACCACTCGCCTATCGGTGGTTCAAAGATCGCCAAAGAGCGCCGAATGGAAACTGATATTGCCGAGCACTTTGCGCAATAAGCGCCGCGAAATGACAAATTTTAATTTTACGGCGAATTGTTTAACTTATCGGGAAAAAATGTGCCGTTGTTCGCGTATATAAAATAACGTTGCGTATATAAGAGAATTTAATTTCGTGCACGGCAGTAAGAATTAATTAATCTTCAGACGGTGAAAATGCCGCTTTCTCCCGTTGTACGCACTTAATCACTTTCTGCTCGATAAAGGGCGAACTTATTGAGCAAAATAATTGTTACAGCTGCAAACGGACCGTGTACGCGGCCGGATTTACGAAATTTAGCACGCGCGCAGTCGGTAGCTTCCGAGCGCAAAGGACGATCCCCCTCGTCGACGTCGCCAACGATTCGCGACATCTTTCCAAGTCGTTTGCGAGCCGTATCTCGCTGATAACGCGCCCGAAATACTCGGAGCGCGGAATTGGTGCGCGCGGCCGTATAATCCAAAGTTACTCGCCCGATAAGAGCTCTTGATCCGGGGCTCTCGAATTCTATGACGCCGAATCCCCTAATTGAGTATCTCGTAATCTCCCGAACATCGCGGCCAGAACTCGATCGCGCCGCGTCCCGCGCTCCGATATCGGCGGAGGCTCGCGTCGAGATACCGTAAGACGGGGTCGAATTGCACCGGAAGGGATAATTATGCTCAATGCCGAGCGAACATCGATGCCGTCAGTCTCTCGTGTCACCCTAAAGCATGAAGCCTGAAGAACTTGAGTGTCTTCTTGACCGTATCTGGCATTTTTAATAATACAGAAAATGTATTGCGACAAATATTACCTCAGCCACTCTGGGGGGGAAAAGACAGCAGCCATTTTGGGGCCCACAATTAGTAATCGAATTTGAATTGTTCGTAACTCGAATCTTTGACGAATTTTACCCCGCGTAACTAAAAATCGCAATTAACTATTCTATCTATATCCAAGATTTTTAAGTAAGACTAATCCGAGGACTAATCAATTCTCTCAATTAGCTCTGTCGATATTCAGTAACGCAGAGATAATTTTCACTTAAGAGGCACTAACCGAAACGTTAAGTTGCTTAACTAAAAAAGAAATGGTCAAAATTTTTCCCAGAGTAGAGTTACGATCAATCCAAATAATTCGACTACTAATTGTGGGCCCCAAAATGGGGTTGCTGTCTTTTTTTTGCCAGAGCAGGGTTTGAACCTGGACTTTCTTACACACTAGGCGAGCGTCTCACCAGTTCGACCACCGCGGCAATAAAAAGCCTTAAAGTTTTCATTTTAATACAGAAAAGTGAGAGAGCGACACGTAATTTAAGTGATTCGTTTGAAAACGTGATGAATTTTTCTTTTACCTTCTATTTAGTTTAATATTTCCCTTTCCCGTTATATATCGGCAATATTTATACACGCGATTCAGCTGGATTGTATTTTATAATCATATTTTCAAGCGTGCAGCTCCATTTCTATTTTGCCTTTATGTTTACTTTGCACTTCGATAGCTCGTAATTGGCGACCCCTACTGTTATTAGAAAGCGATATACGCTGCATGCGAGAGCCGCTCGATGAATTGAAAACAAGTCGACGTTATTTACACGACTGATGTTTGAAAAACCCGGCTACGCTTCCGCTGATCACTTCCGCCGCGCGCCCGCGCGATTCGTTCACGGTTATTGGAAGCGCTGCGCAAATAATCACGTTTGTTTCTCAGACAGGATACAGTGGGCTCTCTCTCTCTCTCTCTCTCTCTCTCTCTCTCTCTCTCTCTCTCTCTCTCTCTCTCTCTCTCTCTCTCTCTCTCCCTCTCCCTCTCTGTCGCAACTCGTGCCGTTAAAGGCACCCGTCCGACACGTATAGCACTTACAAAAGTTACCTATCGCCGAATTATTTGCTGCCGCAAAACTTTTGCGGTCTCTCGCGCAGCGGCGTAAGTTTCTGGTGTAACTAGCTATAAAGGATTAGTCGCGTTACCGGGTGTAATCTTGCCCGTTGCACGTGTCTCTCCCGCGGGATCGTGAGTGCTAGTCCGAAACACCTCTCCTGAGTTCGATAGTTTGCAAGGAGCGTTACACCTTCGTATAGGCTCGCGGGGACATTTATTCTTCGTAACCAATTAACGCGACACGTTCGCGATTTTTCCCTAATTTTCCGGGGACAACTGCAGTTCAAGTTTATTTACGAATGGGCTCGAGCCGGTTATTTCAGAAAGGAGACAATCTCTCCCTCGTTTTTAATTTTGTCTATTAGAAAAATGTCCGTCTATTTCTTGTCAATTTCGTTTAGATACCTATATTCTCATTCGACATTAAAAAAATGACATCTTAATTGCGTCCAGTGAGTAAATGGAAATGCGAAATAGTTGTATTCTGCATGAGAGAAAAGAGAACGTTTTTTAATCGTTTGGAAACTATTATCTGCGATATCCTTTTACTCGCGCAAGTTATGAAATTACATCCAGAAAAAAGATTCAGTTAGGTTAAACAAATGAGATACGTTGAAATCATATTTCTTTGAATCTACCAAATGTATATTTGCTTCTACTAAAACGTTTGCCAGATGTGAAGAAATGGATGTGAATTTTGGTTAAGTCAAAGAAATAATTTCTTTGAAATTAAATGAAAATCTAGTAAGGTCAAAATTTGTTTGATTTCAAACAAACTTTTTCTGGACGATAGTGTAGCGAAAAATGTTCCGCCCGATATTTTGTCCGTCAATTTTACATGAAATAATTTAGAGGTGCACAATGGTCTACGGTGTAGAAATTACATTTACATAGATGCAAAATACTTGTGTTCTGCATGAGAGAAAAGAGAACATTTTTTTTTAATCGTTTGGAAACTATTATCTGCGATGTCCTTTGATTCGCGCGAGTTATGAAATTACATCCAGAAAAAAGATTTAGCTAGGTTAAACAAATGAGATACGTTGAAATCACATTTCTTTGAATCTACAAAACTTCTATTTACTTCTACTAAAATATTTGCCATATTTGAAGAAATGGACGTTCTCTTAGAAATTCCAGTCTCAATTAAATAAAATTCTGGTGAAGGTAAAGAAATCATTTCTTTGAAATTAAATGAAAATCTAGGAAGGTCCAAATTCAAAGAAAATTCGTTTGATTTCAAACAAATTTGTTTCTGAACGACAGTACAGCGAAAAATGTTTCGCCCGTTATTTTGTCCGCCAATTTTACATGAAATAATTTAGACGTGCCCAACGGTCTACGGCGTAGAAATTACATTTACATAGAAATTAAATTAAAATGAGACGCCTGTCTAAAGCGATGCAATGAGTTTTGGGGCGATAATATCGAAATCTCGCGTGACCGTCGCGCTTCCTTCGCGTAAGGAGCATCCGCGCGACCACCGATTCGGCACGGTTAATCAATCATTCTGTTTACCTTATCGGC